CTTCTCGCGTCGCCTATGCATCTCCTCGAACGATAGTCGTTTAACCTCCGGTATGGATGTTCGAGAGTTATTCAGTGGTCGAGGGCTAGCATTAAACGTGATTGGGCCAGGTGGGACGCGGCTCGGACCTGAGAAGCGATTGTCCACCCGTCCTCTTCAAGTGGCAGCGAGGTGGTCGTCCCGCCGTCTAGCAACTTCCACGGCCCTTTGCATCGTGTCGGGCCACTCCAATCGTACCTCCGCGGCCAGATCAAACTTCAACCCACCAATGAAGATGCCCACCAGCGCTGTAACGCCCCACTTTTATTTGACGAAAGTTAAAAACTTTTCAAAAAGTCAACTTAAAATTTTTCGAAAACTTTTCATAACTCAGAGGTGCTACTCAACCTATTCATAAATGGTCATCACATAACTCATACTTGCATAAAACATAAATCATAAATCCAACTTTTCATAAATCCCAAGTTCATTAATATTATTCGAAAGGCGACATTTCCCAATTCAAAGTTCAGAATGCCTAAGTGCATAAACCACAAATGCCAAAGTTCCTAAATCATAAATAAACATAAATAATCCAAGTCAAACAACATGCGGAATAAACTAAATGAAATCAGTCAAAGACCGACACCACTCGTCTTTGTCTCGTCAGCCGGCACCTGCTTAACCTGCATCTATGAAGAGTAGGTGGGAGTGAGCACGATGAACCGTAGTGCTCACAACTATGCACATGAACAATAATAAGGTACGAGAAATTAAATGGCATGGTCGCAGTATGAACACAATCATTAAATGTCCCATCTCCTACTCAGAGTCATAAATAATTCTCATGTGCACACCTATAACAATATACTGTTGTTCGTATGCCTTTCGGCGAACATAAATGGGGTGCCCAAACAGCAGGAGGCTCAACCGTCACAGCACGCACCTAGTGCTTGGACAGGATATCCATCACCGGCCAGGGCATATTGCCAAGCTCTTATAGATGACGTGGTCCTCAGCGAAGGACAAATGAGAAGATTACCCTTTCGGAGTACGTTATATAGCTACGGGGATAACCGTTCGACGGCCGGTAGAACTCACATCGAAGGTTACATATTCACATGCATACATTGATCATACCCACATAAATAAAACATTTATCATTCATGACATAGATAATTTGAATAAAACCCACCTGGTTGAAAGCAAAGGAAAGCACAAACAATAAAGGGGGAGTAGGTGACGAGCTCGGCTCTTCAAGAACCTACAACAAGTCAAGATACCACACTCAATATCTTATCTTGACCTTAGAAGAAGCATACAAATCATACTTAGTCGAACATGATTCAACTAAGTCGTTCATGGAGTTCTGTGGAGTTTGGAACACTTTGACTCGACTCGAAACCAATTATAGCAAGCACACCAATTTAAGTTGGTCAGGAAAATGAATGAGTTAGGTTCTACAACTTTAAAATAAAATCCATCTCACTGGACTTAGCAAAACCACCGAATTTCAGCCCTTAACTCAAAAAACATGATTTTATAAATATCAACCAAGTTTTCTACAAATACGAGCACAATTTCAAAGCTGAACCATATGAACGAATTAACACTTGAAATTTTTACACAAGCAGCTACAGTATGTGAATACCAACATATAAAAATTTCAGTTTAAACACTTATCACACGAATTATAAAAATTGTAACAAATTTCCGCAAATTTCACGATTTTACCAAAAACGAACCAAGATCAACTCCAAAAACCCTGAGCATTGTTTCTCATGTATAACATCATAAAATAGGCACATAAAACAAAATTCAGCAATTTACAACAACAGGTCGATTTTATATAAATAAAACGAGTTTCAGCAGAATCACACAAACAATTAATTACCCTAGCTAAAGAAGTCCAACATTTATGAAATTTTAACACAATATCAAAGTATGACAAAGGAACAACATTTTCAAAATTAATCCATTTTGGAGCACAACTCGATTTTATATGCAATTTATACGATTCAGCCAAGAAATCAAAATAATTATTTAAAATAGCTACAGATGGAATTAAATCATGAAAATTTTACACGACATACGAAACCATCGTAGGACATCACATATGAAATTTCACGTTATTCGGAGCAGCATGCGATTGATTATGAATTTAACAAATATTCAGCAACTATACGGGTTCGACAATTCATATATGACTCAAAACTCGACCAACTCCTTCGCCACAAGGCCAAGGACTCATCTATGTTACAATTTTTCACAACACTTACACGAATTAAACGAGACTCACATGATCTCTCAAAAATCGAACCTATCTCAACATTAAACACATAGCACGTTACACCTAAGTAACATCAAATATCACACATCAACACATATAAGAGCACAATATATATATTGAGGTTCAGTCCAGTTACCGTTCTCGGGACAGGGTTATGAAAAAAGGGTCAAACTAGGGCTAATATGCACGCACGGGAGAGCCTCGGCAGCAAGGCTTGGCTCGGCTGCGGGTCGAGCTTGTGATCAGCAATGATGGGCGCTTCGGATGGACAGCAACAAGGTCCTGCTGTGGCTTACGAACAACAACACAATGAATACGTTCGGGCTTGCACCTTTGGAGTACGCAATGGACAACAATGAAGGTCTGCAAGTCACCGACGGTGCTGATTGTGCGACGGAGCTGCGGTGATGATGAGGGCCGCGACGTGATGATGGCCTGCTGGGACGCGAGAGGGAAACGATGAAAGGGCCTCACGACGTTAGGCAAAACCTACAAGCCTTGGAATGGTATTTTCTACAAAAAGTCGGAGGAGACTATTTTGTAGTACTAAGGAACTGAATACTACCGATTTTCTTCACTCAAACTCGCCCTTGATTTTGCCCGACAAAACCTACCTACCCCAGTTGTTGACTATTCCCTCCAAAAAATCAAAACAAAATTGCTCCAAGACCATGAAACAAATCCATCAAATGTTCCAACGCAGATTGCAAAATTATCTGCCAAAAACTACTTTTTGGAACTAGAAATAGAGAAGTTCAAATTGGTAATGAGATTCTCAATTCAAGAGTAAAGTATCTTGAAGACCAATTGGCAAGAAGCTACTCTAGGATGACCAATACAAAATAAGAATCATATGGGACGCCCTGTTACCACCTCTCATGGAAACAACAGAAAATACTAGAAATGCAAAGAGAAGATCCATTACATTATTCAAGTGAATTCCCAAGAATCTTATTCTCGCCAAACCAACAGATGATATATTTGCCTTGGGAAGTTAGAAATTATATCTTCGAAATGGTAAGAATAAAATTCGAAGCAAAAGAGGAAGAAATCCACCAAATCTTGGACAAAATCCTAAAAGAAAGAAAAATGATCCATGGACTCAAAATATACCATATCATCACGATGCAGAGCTATACTACGAAGCCAATTGTCCTCTAGAATTCACTGAAGGATGCTCATGCACCCTTGATTACAGAATCCCGAAATGTTACATTGATCTTGAAAAATTCCCAACACACTATCCCTTTGGGATCCAAACTCCTACCATGGCTATTACTATCTAAATGTTACTTGACCACAGCTTTATTGACCATATTTATTTTGGATCCAATGAAGCCCTTTTATATGAAAGTTGTTTGGGAACAAAGTTCAAACTCCTAGTAAAGAAATACATTGATATAGCCATACTGTCGTATAATGGTTCAAATGTTATCGAGTCGACTTTCTCGAAGTCGACTCTTCCTGTGGAACTGTATTATCTCCGGTTTGTCAAGGCCTGGATGTCTCTCTTAGATAACCTCCAGATGTCGACTAGCAGAAGTCGACTCCCCTCAGAAAGATGGACAGGCGCATCAGGATCTACTGACTCTTGAGGATGACCCAGGTCGACTCGAGTCGGTACCCCGAGTCGACTTGGGATGTCTCAAAGCTCATAGATCTCCGACGACTTTGGTATACTTCAAACATATCATAAGGAAGCTGTTAACGATAAGAAGGAATTTGGATGTTCACTAGGAGATGGACGGAATGCGAACCGACCAGGGTATTTTGGACATTTTCAGTAAGTCGGCCGGGGCATTTAGGGAACTTCAGGTAAATATTTTGCTTTTATATAAGGGAGCTGAGGTAACCCCAAACCCTAACTTCCATTCATTCTATACTCTCCTCCATAGTTGCTGCTTTCTGAGAGCAGCCTTCTCCATCTCTCTCACATACTGACTTGAGCGTCGGAGGCTCTACGTCAGAAACCCCTCCGGCGTTGAGTTTTTGCAGGTATTCTCGCGGTATAGCAACAATTCGAAGGCGATTTAGACAGATCTGGGCTCACTTCCATCGGTTCGCTTTAGATCTGAAAACAGACCCATCATTTTGGCACCGTCTATGGGGAGCTCTTGAAGGAATTAAGAGCTTTGCACCTAGCTCTGATCTGTCTTTGATGGTCGAGAAGGAAGGATTGTAGAGGTATTTGAATGAGGATTTCAAGGGGACGTGGACGGACAAGCAACCTCCGACGATTCCCAGCCTTAGGCCACCGCTCCAAATGCTCGGTTTTCCACTGGTTGGGGGCACCCACCGTCGGGAATACGCGGCGGAGATGAAACGCCCATTACTCCACTTGGGGTCAAAATCCCAGTGCTAGCGCAAGGGGCCCAGCCACGAGAAGGGCACGAGTAGAGGAGCCAACGGACAGGAGCCGATCGAGACATCTCTGAGCTTGGGAAGGCAGCCTGTGTCGTTTGAGCAAGGAGCGACGCCACCACCCCAAGTCGAGGAGCAGACACTGACCATGACGAGAAGCGAGATGCAAAAAATGATTTCCGTGGCGGTGGCGGCCCAACTCAAGCAGAATCAAGTCGAACAACCCAGGGTCGAGCAACCTCGAATCGAGCACCCGCCCCTCGAGCGGGAACAACAAGAACAATCCCAGGAAAGGCAGAGCAGGAGGGTGGACGAGGAAGAATCCTCTGTCAAAATCATCAACCCACAAGCTAGAAACGACACTCTAGAGCAATTGATGGCTCAAGTACGCGATTTGCAAGCTCGAGTCGAGGGAAGAATGATGGGGGATTAAGAGGACATCCCTTCTCGCAACACATTCTGGATGCCGACTTACCCGAGGGGTTTAGAGAGCTCAACATTTGGTACGATGGGTCGACTGATCCCTCTCGACATCTGAGGAGTTTTGAGAACACGGCAGTGCTACATCGTTACAATGACCCTGTTCAACGTCGAGCGTTATTAACGACTCTGCGGGGACCCGCACAAGATTGGTTCCATCAACTGCCCCTAGGAGTTGTCAGGGACTTCGGCGGGTTTAGCTCAAGTTTTCTGAACCAGTTCTCAAGTGTGAAAGCTCAAGAAAAACCTTACCTTACTTCGATAGGCATGCAACAGAAAGAGGGAGAATCATTGCAAGATTATGTGGCGAGGTACACGCGGGCGTGTGTCGATGTACCCTCGGCCGCCGAGGAGATAAAGTCAGGAGGACTCACTAGAGGATTGCTTCCAGGGTTGTGCAGAAATTCTTTGGCAAAGTGACCTGGGAGATCTTTTGATGATGTCTTGGGAATATGCGCCAAATATATGAATGTTGAGGAGGCGGAAGCCGATTTCTTACAAGCGGCAAAGGTGAAAATAGAACCCCAAGACGAGAAGAATGATAAGAAGTCAAGTTCGGTGGTAGAAAGGAAAGGATCCCCGAGAGCAGAAAGGGAGGTGCGGTCGAGAGGGTGGAGGCCGACTCAATATACCCCCTTGTTGGCTCCGCAAGCGAGGATATTGGAAGTGATAGAGAAAGAGATCCGCGACAATGTCGTCAGATGGCCGCGGACGAGAAAGGATGGGCCGACAAGTCCTAAAAGCAATTTGTATTGTCGATTCCATAAAGACTATGGGCACAACACTGATGATTGCCGGCACCTCAAGGACGAGATTGAAAGGCTAATCAAAGCAGGCTATCTGAAGGAGTTCATTTACAAGGATCAAGAAAGGACTAGTCGGCAAAAGGAAATAAGTAGGAGCCCTCGCAAGAGGGCGAGATCACCCGAGAAGAAGAAGCTTCCCCCGAAAAGGGGAGTAATTCATATGATCTTCGGTGTGCCGACTGATGGAGACTCAAATCAAGCAAGAAAAGCGTATGCCCGAGGGAAGCATGCTAAGGTCGAGGTGCAACAAGTCGATGAGGGAGGCCCAGTGATGAATTTTGGGCCAGCAGATGTGGGAGAGGTCAAAAGGCCTCACAATGATGCCTTGATGATAACCGCCCAAGTATCGACTACAAAGTACAGAGAATCTTTGTCGACACAGGGAGTTCGGTAAATGTGATCTTTTATGACTGTCTCAAATGGATGGAGCTCGAAATCAAGCTTACGCCTCTACATACATCACTCTTTGGGTTCAATGGATCGGAAGTCGTACCCCTGGGAGAAACCACACTCGCTATCGTGCTGGGGGAAGGCAACTTGAGAAAAGTAAAGATGGTGCGGTTCGTTGTAGTCGACGTCGAGTCTACTTATAATGTGATTCTGGACAGGCCGGCACTCAACACATTCCAAGCAGCGGTGTCGACCTACCATATGAAGCTAAAGTTCCTCGTTGGGGATACAGTTGGGGAGGCCCGAGAAGATAAGAAGATTTCGAGAACCTGTTATCAAATAGCAGTGAAAACAAACCAACGAGCGGAGGTAAGGGAAGGAAAGAAGCTAATGTCGAACGAAAAGAGGCCGAGGGGGAGCGACCTCAAGCCACATGGAGAATTGATGGAAATCTAGATCAGTGAGAGAGAGGACCAAACCACCAAGGTCGGGAGAGAATTGGGGAATGAGTTGAGAAAACAGTTGGTGGAGTTGTTGAAAGAATTTAGAGACATATTCGCTTTCTATCCTCAAGAGTTAACGGGAATCGACCCGGGGGTCATGGTGCACAAACTCAATGTCGATCCCCTTAAAAAGCCCGTCAAGCAGCGACTTAGGCATCATGGAGCTGAGATCGATAAAGAAATTGAGGTCGAGGTGGATAAGTTTCTCAAAGCCAAGAATATCAAAGAAATCCAATTCCCCGAATGGATATCCAACACAGTGATGGTGAGGAAAGCATTGAATAAGTAGCGCATGTGCATCGATTTTCGTAACTTAAACCTGGCATGCCCAAAGGATCACCATCCTTTGCCGAGAATTGATCAGCTAGTCGACTCCACGGCATGTTGCGAGCTGCTAAGTATGATGGACGCATCCCAGGGGTATCACCAAATTCCGCTAGCCCCCGAGGACCAAAGCAAAGTTAGCTTCGTGACAAGTAAAGGGACATACTGTTACGTCGTCATGCTCTTTGGGCTCAAAAATGCGGGGGCGACATACCAAAGGCTGATGGATAGAATGTTCAAGCCGCAGATCGGGCGTAATATGAAAGTGTATGTGGACGACATCCTGCTGAAAAGTAGGTCCTCAACATCACATGTCGAGGATCTAAGAGAAACATTCGAGACGCTAAAGACATTTGGGATGAAGCTGAACCCGAATAAATGTGCCTTCGGAGTGAAGGCAGGACGATTCCTTGGTTATGTCGTGACTGAAAGAGGCATTGAATTGAACAAGAATAAGGTGAAGGCCATACTCGACATGGCCCCACTAAAGAGCATAAGAGAAGTGCAGGGTCGAATTGTCGGCCTGAGCAGATTCATCGCTCGAGAGGCGGAGAGAAGTTTCTCATTCTTCAAGTTGCTTAAAAAGAAAGCTTTTCAATGGAATGATGTGGCGCAATGGCATTCGAAAAACTGAAAGAATTTCTAAGTGAGTTGCCACTATTAACAAAACCAGAACCCAGTGACGAGCTGGTGCTTTATATCTCGGTGGGAATATTTTCCTTGAGCTCAGTATTGTTGCGAGAAGCAGGAGGAGCCCAACAACCGATTTATTATACAAGTCGAGTACTTCAGGGTGCGGAGATAAGATATTCCGAAGTCGAGAAAGCCGCCTTGACGCTAGTGATAACGGCTAAGAAGTTGAGGCCATATTTCTTGAATCATGTGATAGTGGTGAGGACAAACTTCCAGCTAGGAGAGACCTTGGGTCGACCAACTATTTCGGTCAACTCGTGAAGTGAGCGGTCGAGCTATACTCCATCAAATACGAACCAAGAGGAGCCAAAGCCCAAGCTTTAGCAGATTTTATCCAAGAAGGAACTAAGGGGGAAGAGAACAAATGGATGATGCATATCGATGGATCCTCGGCGGCCAAGGGGTCTGGCTTAGGAGTTGTCCTTATATCTTCCAAAGGCGAGCAACTTGACTTCGCCATCAGAATGGGGTTTAAAGCCTCTAATAACGAAGTGGAGTATGAGGCGTTGATCAAAGGAATTCAACTTGCAATTGGTGGCGGAGCGACAGAAATCGCTTTCTGACTCACAACTTGTCGTGGGCCAAGTAATGGGGAACTGTGAAATAAAAGAGGACAGAATGCAAAAGTATGTCGAGGAAATTCAAAGCCTAGTGCAGGGCTTAGAGAAGTATGAACTGACCCAAGTCCCTCGAGAGGAAAACAAACAAGCCGATTGGCTCGCAAAAATAGCAAGTTCGAATGAGGGGAAGATGGGAAACCATATTACCACCATGCATTTGGAAGGAAGTGTCCTGGGCGAAACAATGGAAGTCGAGGAGAAGGGCGACTGGAGAGAGTCGATTCACGAGCTCTTGCAGGGGCAAGTACCTGCAGGAGATAAGCAGGGAGCCGAAAAAGCCGCTCGGTATTTGAGTAAATATTTCGAAGTCGAGTGGGTTTTATACAAGAAATCGTATGTCGGGCCCCATTTAAGATGCATTTCAGAAGACGAGGGAAATTATGTCTTGCGATAAGTTCACGAAGGATGTGGTGGAGCTCACGTCGGATCTCGAGCCTTGGCTGGGAAAATCTCGCGGGCTGGCTATTATTGGCCAAAATCAGGAAAATGGCCGAGCAGTTAGTGCGAGGATGCGAGAGATGCCAGCGTCATGGCCCAATCCTCATATCCCTGCTGAAACCATGACGATGATCAACTGCCCGATTCCCTTTGCTCAATGGGGAATCGACCTAGTAGGTCCACTACCAATGGGAACAGGGAAAAGAAAATTCCTCGTAGTCGCAGTCAACTATTTTAGTAAATGGGTGGAGGCGGAGCCCTTAGCAAAAATACCAAGGAGAAGATGATACAATTTTTGTTCAGCAATATCTGCTGTCGATTCGGGATTCCGAAGGTGTTGATCTCTGATAACGGAACACAATTCCAGGGGAAGGGAATCCAAGCATGGTGTCTCGATATGGGAATCAAATAGAGATTTGCCTCGGTCGCTCACCCCCAGGCTAACGGGCAATTCAAGGTTACCAATAGAACCATCTTGCGCTAAAGAAGTGATTGGAGAAAGCTTTGGGAGCCTGGATCGACGAGTTAACCACTATTCTATGGGCATACAGGACGACACCGAGAAGCTCGACAGGCCAATCACCATTCAGTATGGTGTATGGAATGGATGCACTCCTACCAGTGGAAATTGCACTAAGCTCACACAGGTCGACATACTTTGAGCAAAAAAAGAATGAGAAAATGGCCAAAGAAGCCCTCGATTTGATTGAAGAAGGGCGAGAAGAGGCTTGGTTGCGATCTGTTGAATATAAGCAAAAGATGCATGCAGCTTTTGACAAAAAAAGTCCGAACCAGGCGTTTCCAAGTGGGAGATCTCAGTCTCAAGCGAGCAGACGCCTTGAAACATGTCGGAAAGCTCGAAGCCAACTGGGAGGGGCCCTACACTGTCACAAAGGTGCTAGAGTGGGGTGCATACGAGCTCGAGGATGGAGAGGGTCGACAACTGCCGCGATCTTGGCATGTGATCCATCTCAAACGCTTTTATGCTTAAAAGGAAACATTTTGAACTCTTTTGCAATGAACAATATCTGAATCGAATTCATTAATGAAATGAATTTCAAGTTTATGCTTCAATTTTGTCCTTTACATTTCCATATCGATCTCTTTATAACTACTGAAATACTGAATTTCTCAAAACGGTTATGAAGTCGACAAAACAACTACGAATTGAGTGGAATCTCGATAAGGCTACGAAGCCTACGACTACGAAGTCGACAAAACAACTATGAATTGAGTGGAATCTCGATAAGGCTACGAAGCCTACGACTACGAAGTCGACAAAACAACTACGAAGTTGTATTCTCGAGGGGAATCTCGATAAGGATACGAAGCCTACAATTATGAGGTCGACAAAACAACTACGAAGTTGTATTCTCGAGTGGAATCTCGATAAGGCTACGAAGCTTGCGACTACGAAGTCGACAAAACAACTATAAAGTTGTATTCTCGAGTGGAATCTCGATAAAGCTACGAAGCCTGCGACTACGAAGTCGACAAAACAACTACGAAGTTGTTGCTGGAACACGCCGACGAGGCGGTCCTTCCCACGGATCGATATCGGATACCAA